CCAGATGTACAGAAATTGCTCTTGCTCAACTAATAAGGGTCGACCGTGCAAAAGACTGCAGTTGGTACCCCCGCCAAGTGAATGAAAAAGAAAAAAAAGTAAAATGAAAGTAAAAAAGGGGTTCCAACGGTGAAATGAAGTGAAAGAGTACCCCGGTACAACGAGTCCTTCGTTGTGAATAGTGTGAGTCCCTTTATCCATGAACTGACTGTCTTACTTCTACTTCTTCTCATGATCCTTGCTTGAGTCTAGTACTCGCATTGAGAGAGATAGGGAACGTCTTAGAAGACCAGTAGACCTCGTAAGCTGCTGTATGATCTGGGAAATCCTCTACCGACGATCGGGGTTGTATGTTGCTATAGAGGTCTGGAGAGATGCATTGGTTTGAGTTAGGTTTGCTTTGGGACAAGCAAACGGTTAAGTGTGGGGGGATTTGATGACTCGATATTTGCACATGTTTTCCCCTTTGTTTCTTGATTGTTTAAGGTTGCATTATTGCTTATTTGGCCTATTTTACGCTAGGTTGTGTTCCTTTGTTACATTTCAGGTCCTAGCACATAAAGTGAAGCATAGGCGCAAGTTTCAAGTCAATCAGAGATCAATTGGCGATTCGGGAGAAGAAACTCGGGCATGACCTGAAGAAGAATGGATTTATACCTCACTTTATGGACAAATAATCATGCAAGTTTGTCATGAAAAGAAAGATAACGAGACTACGAGCGCCTGGGATCAAACGGCGACTGATTCGGAGTCCGGACGAGGGAGAAACGAAGCATTGAATATAGGGGAACAGGTTCGGCAGTAAAAACACGGGCGCGCCTAAATCAAAACACGGCCGTGCCCATATTTAGGCACGACCGTGTTTTGGCCGACGCGTGCGGGCGTGTTTTTAACACGGGGCAAAACACGGGCGGGCAAAAGCAAAACACGGCCGTGCCCTCGACCGTGTTTTGCCCAGAATCGGTTTTTTAACCCAAATTCGAGCCAAAGGAGAGGGCGAGCTGGGTTTTGGATCCCAAACACCCAAGGGACGAACAAAAGAGAGAGGGGGCGATTTGAGGGCATTCTTTGAGTGGAATTGGAGGATTTCTTCGCCTTGGAAGCTCGAGGAACAAGCCCGGACTTGAAGACTGATCATCTTAAGATTCTTACTCTAGTCTCTCTCTTCTCTATGGAGTAACTTCCCTTCACTTAGGTTTTGAGGAACCCTAGCTATGTTTGTTTGATTGGATGATTGTATGAGTACTCTTACTTGATAATCTTGAGTTCATATTCAATCTATGCATGCTTTCATGATTCAATTCTGCTTTAGTCGAGATTATTGATTCTGCTTTGATCCTATGAGAGCGAATACCTGATTAGGTCAATAGAGCACCATAGATTGATAGTAGTGGATCGATTGCTTTAGTCGAGGGTTGATTCACTGCTTTGTATCGATTGAGAACCTCATTTGATAGAGGGAATCTAGTTCAGAACGCCTTGATCGGTTGTTCTAGAGAAGGATACGTCCCTCTAGGCAATTGACTCAAGAGGGCCTTGTTCCTTTAGTCGAGACTCAAGGTCTAGTCAAGGATTCTCCGCATTGTGAATGAAAGTGAAACAAGTTAGAAATCATCAATTGTTAATCTGGCTAGTGGCTAGGGGGAATCATACCTAAGTGAGTTCCCAACCTGTAATTAGATTAACTTTAACTGTAGTTTGCTAGAGTAGTTTTAGTTCTTTCATCTTAATCTGGTTTGCTAGATAATAAACTGAAGCTGAGGAATAGTAACTCTAGAGACCCGTGGATTCGATATTTATTACTTGAGCCACTATACTGCAGTCCCTTTCATTGGTTACACTTGGCCATTGTTAGGAGTTGTGTCATAGCGAGTCATTTAATTTTTTGATTCAGGAAAAATTTAATGCCCTTAAATCCTGTTTTCCCTCGTTAACCCGCTATTTTTTTGGGTTAGTGCAACAACACATCGACGAATTCAATTGCATGCGTGAAGAATAAGACGAAAGTTTTTACCAAAAAAAGAAAGTTGTAGCATGCATCTCACCGGGAGGATAAAATCATCACGGCATTTAATTCGATGCGTGAATCCATGAGCAAATTCCAAAATTGAAGACTCGATAAGGGGAAAGAATTTAACTTACTATGCAGAACCCAAGCAAATCCCTATTGTGAGAAGACAAAACAACTGGTGCTTCGTCTTCAACCACCACCTGCTCTTCTCTGTCCTTCGATCGGCAGCATGCTACTCCTCCATCCTGCGTACAGTTCACCTCCGAACGAGACGCAGTTCGCGGCATGCACCAATCTCGCTTCTCGGTTGTCCACGATTCCAGAAGCTGAAGCCCCTCTGCAAACAACACCGCCATCGATTTTGGGGTTATAGACTTTCCGCCTCGCGATGCAACTCTCTTATCCCCTTCCAAACGATGTCGCCGGTAAACCGCTCCTCCATTTTGGAACGGACGACAGTCTCCCGGCGGAGGGCGACGTTCAAGTGATTTTGAGGTTTTGGTAAAGTGAAAAGGAGGATGAATCGTCCCCTTCACTAAATTGTTATCTCCTTTCCGAGAAGTAAACCCCCAAACGGCGCCGTATTTTTTATTATTATCTCCTTTCCGAGAATTAAACCCCAAACGGCGTCGTATTTTTCCTTTACAGCAGTTGTAACTATTGGGGTACGAAAAATAATTAAACTAAATGAAATTGCAATCTCCCATTAGCATTTGAACTTAACAAAATACAATATAAGTATTAAACAAATTGCAATCCTCAATTATTAATTGAAATTAACAAAATAAGAGTAAGTCTAAAACAAAATGTCATCGTATAATTGTAACAAAAGTCTAAATAAAAGTCTAAATAAATTCTTCATAACCCAGTCTAGTCAAACTCAAGTTATCATCGTGTCCGTCATCCTTGATTATTCGAGGAACATCGACAATTGTGTCTTCTTGGTACGCATGTTCTTCGAGAATTTCTTCTTCCTCGGCTAGATTATAGAAATTTCTCGGTCTTGTCTCAATCACTGTGTACCTTTCTCGATTTCTGACGCACTGCACATAATACACTTGAAGTGTTTGACTCGCCATAACATACGGTTCATCGGCATGGCGCTTACGTGACCTATTAAGGGTCACCACGCCATGGCCATCCCTCCTGTAGCCTAAACCTTCTCTCGTCGTGTCGTACCACTCGCATTCAAATAGCACCACGCGAAGGCCTTCGGTATAGCGAAGCTCTATGATATCTTCAATGACACCATAGTAAGGAATTCCAACGACATCTTCACGTTGCACCATTACTCCGCTATTTTGACCTGTCTTGGTCGCTTCATGCTTTCACGTGTGGTATCTAAAACCATTTATGCAATATCCTGTGAAGTGCAAGACTCGTTGGTCGGGTTCTCGAGATAAAGTCAACATAGAAGGATGCAATGTTGCAACCTTTTCTTCGTGCATTTTTCCTACCTATAAATTAAATTAAATTTGAAAAAAGGCAACAATTTTTATTTATTTAATGACTTGAGCTGAGTGGATACCTCGAGTGACGACAAAATTCGTGGTGGGGGCCTCTTCTCTACTCTGCCATTAAATTCCTTCTTTTGCTTCCGCCACTTATCATCTGCTAGAAAAAACCGACGATGGTACATATAGCACTCCTTACGTCCATTCGTCAATTTCAAATGGTCTGTTTCAGCTCCACATGAAGGACAAGCCAATTTACCTTTTGTTGCCCATCTAGAGAGATTAGCATAAGCCGGATAATCGTTGATGGTCCATAGAATAGCTGCTTGCATGATAAAGTTCTCCTTCTTAAAAGCATCATAAGTCAACACACCATCAGCCCACAACTTCTTCAGATCATTGATGGGTGGTCTAAAAAATACGTCAATATTATTGCCCGGTGCTTTTGGGCCAGGAATGAGTAATGTCAAGAAGGTGAAGGGTGTCTTCATGCACTTCCAGGGAGGGAGATTATACGAGAATAGAAGAACTGGCCACGTACTGTAGTGCTCTTCATATTACTGAATGAGTTGAATCCATCGGTAGCTAGTCCCAACCTTACGTTTCGGGCTTCAGCACCAAAAGTTGGATCGTACTTGTCCAAAGTACTCCAAGCTTCACCGTCAACATGATGCCTTAATATCCCATCTTTAGAATGGTGTCCAGCATGCCAAACCATGTCTTCTGCAGTTTTAGAGGACACAAATAATCTCTGAAGTCGGGGCTTGATTGGAAAATACCGTAAATTTTTGAACGGAATTTTTCGCACTCTTCCCTTCTTATCCTTATAAAATTTCTTGTACCTTGACTTCTCGCATGATGGGCAAGATGTCGCCTTCTCCAGATCGCCGTAATATAATACGCAATCATCCACACATGCATGTATTTCTTCACAATGTAGCCCAAGACCCTTCATTAACTGTTTTGCTGCATAGTAATTTTTTGGCAATGACTCCGCCATAGGAAATGCGCTCCGAATGAATTTCAAAAACTCGGTAAAGGAATGATCAGTCCAATTGTTCAACCAATTCATGTTCATGAGCTTCACGATACATGACAATCTTGACAACTTTGGATCACAACCTTCATACAACGGTGATTGCGCTTCTCCAAAAAGTCTGTAGAACTTTTGGGCTTCTTCGTTAGGTTCTTCCGGCTCAGGATCGGCCTGTGGAGGTAAGAGGTCATTAAGAACACCGAGCATGTCATCCAAGTCCATATCGACATCACGGGTTTCATTCTCATCTTCAATGTCATCATCTTCGTCTTCATTTTCATCTTCATCTTCATCATCGCCCTCCCCATGGTATACCCACTTAGTGTAGTCACTTCGCATCCCTTTACGAAGAAGATGCGTCTCTACCTATCCAATCGTCAATCTGCAGACGTTAGAACAGACCGTGCAAGGACACCTAATTTTACCATCTTCGTCTTTAACATTGTCCTCTGCGTATTGTGCGAACTTTCTAACTCCGTCCATATACTCCATAGATGGCCGATTCTTTAATTGTATCCAGGATTTATCAATTGATGTCATACCTACACCAATGAACTAGATGCAATTAAGACGATAACATCAAAAATTAATTTTAATTAATAACTAAAAATTAATATTTAACCTATGTATTCCCATTCACCAACAAAAAAATAATATAACATTCAAATATAATTAGTGAAGTATGTAATTGTAAATTGTCTCAAATAGATATAGATCTTTTTTAAAGAAAAAGGAATCTGTACGAAGAGAAGGGGATTCGTACCTCTTCCCGTTCTTGACTTTCCAGTTCCCGATCGAGAACAGAACACCGGCCGGCCAAAGTTCTCCACCGGCGGCGTTCAGTTGAAGAATATTCGGCGGCGTGCGACTAAATAAGAAAACCACGGCGGCGGGCGCCTGGATCAAATCCGGCGGCGTTTGACTGAAGAAATTCCGTCGGTCGACGACCGAGCAAACTACGCTGGCAGGCGTCTGAATCAAATCCGGCGGCGTGCGGCCGAATCCAATATGGGGGTGGAAATTTTGTGAATCCTTCTCTCTGCAAAAGAGATTGATTCGTGATACTAGATGAATGATTACCGTGTTCTGTTCTTCTTCAATATCACTTTTTATAAGCCTCAATTTCATAGGTCCATTCGACGTTTGCCTGAATTTATGAACTCCGATTCAACCGTTCATTGTATCAATTAACCACATACTTATGATTTATCCCTTTAATTCAATTAATTAGAGGCCAATCGTTTCTGTATATATTCTTTGCAGATTTCTGCAGAAGGGATGAATGTAAGTTTAATAGGAAGGGACGAAGGGGATGAACCGAGTTTGTGCGTAGATTGAATTTCGATATTACTCCAATAATAAGTAGAAAAGACTCGGGAATAGTCATGAATGTAGGTATAGTGCAACTGGTGTGTAAGTCGTATTTCAGCTTGGAGGTATATTGTTCGATCCTCCATCTCGTTTCTTTTTTTTAATTATCAATTACCGTTTTGAGAAATAGGGGCACTGAGGGTGTAAACGACTTTTCTCAAAATTTCTTTGACGGAATTTTTGCGACGAACAAAATTTTTAGTTGGAATTGAAAAGTTGTTCTGATGTATATAGTAATCCTCACAAATAAGAACATATACGAGAAAACAATACTGATGCTGAAGATTACTCGTCATAAAAAATATTAATTCCTACGCTAATATTTACAGCGTCATAAATACAACTACATTATCGACGCACAAATTAAAATTGTCAGTATTATTGCACTGTTACAACGGTAAAATAAATTTTGTCATAAATACTTACCCAAGATCCCTCAAATATACGTGATATATAATTTCCCACGCAATTAATTGCCATTTCCAACGCAATATTTTTTTGTTCAAGAAAAATATTAACTTTTGCAACAATTTCGTTATTTCGTTGGTAATGATGATAATTTGCGACGGAAAAAAGCAGTCGTCATGCGGTTTTGGTAATAACTGACTGTCTTTTTTGTAGTGGATGGAAACGTCGACTCTGTTGGGGATGGGAATGGGACGAGTAGGCTGGGTCGATGGCGGCGCTGCTTTTCTTGCATGAGAAAAATAGAGAGAGAGAGAGAGAGAGAGAGTCGGGGAAAGTAAGCTGGTGGCTTTTGTGGTTTTATGTTTTCTCTTTTTGCACCGATTGGGGTTAAATGGGACGGTTAGATGATGTATAATAATAATAATTATTATAAGTATTATTGTGATTATTATTATTACTATTATTATAAGTATTAATGTGATTATTATTATTATTATTATTATTATTTCTAATCCACGGTTGTAATCCTTCGTAGGTAACCATCCATTCAACCATTCATTTACTATGGTCGAACATGAGCCAAAAAGTCGGGGGTGTTACAAAAGGTATCGTTACCTTCAATTATTTCAAAGTGTCCTTCCATGGAGCACATTCATGATAAAGATCACTTTCAAATAACCGCCTAGGATAAGGAACTTTCGGTACTAGCTCGGGTACTTGAGTCTTCTTAGACTTTTCCTCATCTTCAATCTTCATTTGAATCGAAGTTTGGACCTCCTCCCGTACTACCTCTTCTTCTTGAAGGACTTCATGTTCAAATTTTCTTAATGGGATCCTCGGAGTTGAGATAGGAATCTCCTTCAAGGGTCGGCTACTCCTTATAGTTATCGCATGACATCCTTCCTTTGGATTAGGTTCGATATTTCTCGGTAGGGTTCCTTGAGCTCTTAACGATAGAGTTTGAGCCAATGAACTTAGTTGAGTTTCAAGATTTTGAAGTGAGGCCTGTTGATTCCTTTGACCTGCTTCCAAACTTGAGAATTTGGTTGAGGTATTCTCTATGAACTTGTCAATAGCTTCAAACTTCTTGTTGGAATGTGCAACAAATTGTCCCACCAAATCTTCAAGTTTAGAAACTCGACCATCGGATGGTCGACTTTGTTCTTTATATGCTCCTTGGTGTGGTGGTTGACATAGTATCAGGTAAGTATTTTGCGCTGGAGATTGAGATTGAAAATCTGAAGGTTTCCTATCCGTTGTAGAAGACCAAAGAAAATTATGGTAATTCCTCCAACCCGAATTATCTATTGAGATATAAGGGTTGTTCCCTCGAGATTGGCCTCCCACAATGTTGGCTTGCTTAAACTATAGTGAAGCCTCAATCATAGACTTACACTCTTCCATGGTATGACTTGAGTCGCCACACCAATCACATTTCATAAGTTTCTTCCCATTACCTTTCATTGATGATGCAAATTGATCGATTTTCTTGGAGAGTTCTTGAATATGAGCCGATAATGATGAAAGTTATTCAATCTTCATTAAACTCCCCTTTGATAAGCTCTTGCTTCATCTTTCGTCACCCCAATCATAGCTATTAATGGCCATTTCTTCGATCAATTGTTGAAGTTCTCTGACTTTTTTTTGTTCCTAATGTACCTCCACTATCTGCATCAATGAGGCTTTGTGACTTCTTCGTCAACCTATTATAAAATCTTTCCACTTGTAACCGATTGGCAATGCCATGGTGATGACACTTGAGTAGGAGGTGTAAATATTTCCCATTCTTCAAACAATGGTTCATCCGCCTCTTGACGGAACATGGTGATATCACTTCTCATTAAAGCCGTCTTAGAAGGTGAAATATATATAGCGAAGAACTTGTCGCATAGATCGTCCCATGAGGCGATGGAGTGATGTGGTTGATTTTTCAACAATTTCTTTGTCGCGCCACTCAAGGTAAACAGAAATAATCTTAATCGAATAGCCTCTTGAGGAAATCCATTCACCCTGATTCCATCCTTCAATTCGTAAAATGACTTGACATGTGCATGCGCATCTTCACTCATCATCCCATTGAATTGAACCGCACTTTGAAGCATTGTAATGTGCTCGGCTTTTTCTCATAATCGTTGTAGGGCAACGTGATTGCACATTATCTACACTTGGCCTTGAGTAAGAATCATTATTCTTGGCCTCGGTGGAACTTGAGCTTGTTGATCCGCCATTGGTGGATTTTGAGGTCTTGCAACTCTTCTTAGATTCCAAAGGGTTCTCTCAATTTATGTATCAAGAGGTAATATTTCTAAAGAATCCCTTCTTTGCATACAAAGGTGCTACAAAACACAATCTAAACAACCTTTGACGTAAGAAGTTGAATAAACAAGCAAACAACGAAAAAAAAACACGAAAATAACAAAACAAGAAAAAACACAAAACAAACAAACACTTAATTAAAAAAACACACACAAGAAACACAAAACAAAACAAACAAATAAAACAAGGTAAAGACTTACTAACAACTTAATGGTTTTCTAATAGTTACGAAGGTTTTCTGGCAACGACGCGAAAAATATTGATCACTTCGATCTGTGATATTATTGTCAATGGTTAGCACTTGTCAACAACTACCCCATCCTAATCCAAGTTTAACCTAAGATGGCATTGTCGTATAGTGGTAATCAATGTCGTATGTTACTCAGGTCCTGGTACCCTATCCTACTTCCCACCTTGTTACTAATTAGGTAATCGGTTTTGCAGGTTTGAGTGGAGGATTTGAGGAGTTAACTAGACTAGAGATTGATCGAAGTTAAAAGCAGGTACTTTGGGGAACTAATCCTCCACCTAGCTTAGGGAAAATTCATGATATCTTGTTGGCATGATGAGAATTAATGTTGTCTCATGCAATATAGCATGTCCACAACAAGAAATTGGCAATCTTATTTTCATAAGCAATGGTCTTGCAACCAGTTGCAAATGCTTAATAAATGATGGTGCCGGCCCATTTTGTGTATGAACATGTGCTACAGGATGTTCAACATCCATACCAATGGACATACAATAGTCATTGAAAGTTTGTTAAGTAAATTCACTAGCATTATCTAGACATATTTTATGGATTGGAAAATCAGGTAAATGTTCTTGTAATCAAATCAGTTAGGCAAGTAATCTAGCAAACGCCAGGTTGCGATTTGATAGTAAACACACAAGTGACCATCTAGTTGATGTATCAACTAGAACCATAAAATATCTAAATCGTCCATATGGTGGGTGAATTGGCCTGTATATATCACCTTGTATACGTTCTAGAAGTGTAAGAGATTCATTCCTTACTTTTACAGGTGGTGGTCGTATAATCAACTTGCTACGAGAACACGCAACACACATTTTCGACGTGTTAGTTACCATGAACACTTTGTTTCTTGCCTCTTCTATCGTCATTTTTTCCACTTATGGGGGAAAAAATGAGCTTTTGTAACTTTCACCACGACTACTACTTCAGCCAATATCTCGGCCATGCCCTCGAGCATGACCACGTACACGTCCTCGCCCATGTCCATGTATTTGCCCATAAGAATATTGGGTGAACTTTGTCGCATTCGCTTCTGGGAATGGGGCGGCACAAGTAGGACGAGATTGGTGATTCTTCATTAAAAGCTCATATTTTGTTCAGCCATAAGGATACAGGAAAGCATCTCAGAATATTTCTCAAACCTTTTTCACGGTATTGCTGCTACAGGAGATGCATGAAAGGTGGAGAATGTTTTTTCCAACATATCTTCATCAGTGATATTTTTATCCACATAACAGTAGTTGTGAGGTTATTTCGAATAGATCTGAATTATAATCACTTACAGATTTAAAATCTTGTAACCTCAAATGCATCCAATCATAACGAGCCTTAGGAAGAATCACTATTTTTTGGTGTTCATACCGCTCTGTCATGCTAGACCAAAGAATAAGTGGATCTTTTACCCTAAGATACTATTCTTCAATCCCTAGTGAAGGTGATATCGAAGAAAAATCATTGCTTTAGTTTTGTCTTGATCCAATGCTTCATTACCCTCTTTAATAATGTCTCACAAGATCGTTGGTAGCTAAATGAATTTCAGCATCTAGCAGACTAGCACTCATGATAGGTAATTATTTCCATTGACATCAAGAGCCACAAACTCAAGCTTCGAAAGATTTGACATACTATCATAGAAATATACAAATTACAATTAAAGTCAAAATTCAATAAAAAAATGTAACACCCCACCCATAATCTCTATGGTTGA